CCTCCAGCCAGCATGTTGGCTGGGGGATTCTGAGAGTTGAAGTCCACCCACCTTCATGTTGCCAAGGTTGAGAAACACTGCTTTAGAGTAATATCCACAGAGAGTCCCCTCTCCAGTATGTGTGCTTAAAACTGTGGTCCCTGTCCCTTAGGTGGACACTAAGCTGGTAGCAAGAGGTTAGTACAGAGGACAGGACTTCAAACATGGGCATTTTGCAATGTTTGGCACTGGGTCAGAAGAGAATCTGTCAATCTGGGAGAGGGGAGGAAGGGGAGACTTAAAAATATAGCATTTTATAGCACACACAACTGTCCACGCCATACTTTCATTAGATATCACAGAGCACTATCCTGAAGTACGCAATACTTTTTTGTTTGGCGCCTGAGAGAAATGTGCCATGAGTTTGTACAGGGCCTATGCTCTTGATACACTGGCTGAATCTTGAATATGATCTAGGGGGAAGATAATGAAACCTGCACAGATAATGAAGAACAATAGTTCAGTTAGGTGTCCTTTCTCTTGCAACCCTTATTCTAGATGCATTTACTTGAAAGTATTTTCAAGATGAGGATGAACAGGCTGAAGCTAAATAAAACCATTTGACATCAGCCAACAATTTCAGAGTGTTTACAGTGGAATTCCATTTTCAGTGGTTTCCCTCCATCTAGTGTGCACGGTAGTGCAACCCAAGCCTCACATTACAGGGCTTAGATTGGTTGCTGGAGTTTCTTAAACAACCCACTATAAAAGATCTCACTTTGCCAAGGCTTGTACATCCCGAAGCATGTAAGGATGGGCTTGTGCCAATAAAAATGACAGCAGTCCTGCAACTGATTTACTGCTGCAAAGCTTTCTCCAACCTAACAACCAAGGAGTTGATGTCAAGAGGGTCAGTTCTTATGGATTTCCTGTCAGGAGTCCTATCCACAGAATTTGGGAGAGAGGACTATGCTCATCTAATTGACCGTAGAACTACATATCTGATCTGGCAATGTGGTCTTATACCACATCAATCATTCTAGACCAGCATGGCTCTCTCTGACTGGCAGTGGATCTTAAAGCCTTTACAAAAGTTCTTTTCCAGCTTTGTTACATGAGGCTTCTGAAATGCAGATATTGGACAGTCCTGGGGCCAACTCTGCTGAAATAACTATTCCTTATGCCTATCTTGATCTGCAGTGTATTTTTATTTTTAAAAATTATCCTGTCCTGTTCTCTATTGACATTTGATGCCAACTAGTTTCTTACTGCAATTTTGAATTGTCTCCAATGTGATAAAATTGGTTTTTACAGAGAACTTGAGGGCCAACAGTACAAGATGTCCTGTTCTCCCTTCATACATGGATACACACAAACAGAGATCTGGAGTAACGCTATTTCCAGGCACTGGAAGTAGAAATACTCTTTGGTGCTGGAGGATCAGAAAAATGTATCTATTTATCAGTGGAAACTTGAGTTGTAGTCCAGTTCATCTGCAGGATGGCAGGTAGGGGAATGCTGCACTGATTATGGCCCCTTTATCAGGAAAAAAAGACTTCTATCTTTTACACATGGATGTTAATCAATATATATTCTTCTTATAAATAATAGCAAAAAAACAAGTATAGTCTTTAAAAGCTAGCACAAAATTCCTTAACTTGGAAAACGTGCCTTTCTAGTCAGTATGAGACAGTGTTTTTCAACCATGGCAACTTTAAGATGTGTGGACTTCAACTGCTGGCAACTGAATTGCTGGCTGACAATTCTGGGAGTTGAAGTCCATACATCTTAAAGTTGCCAAGGTTGAAAAACACTGGTATAAAGCTTTTTGTGACATATATAATGTATTGCAACTCATTTACTACTGTATAGCTTTGTCCAATCTGACAGGCAAGGCTTTTCTGTCACGTGCAGTCAGTCTGAGCCTTATAAAAAGGCCGTGCAATATGCATACGTTTTCCTATATAAACACCCTCCCCTGGGGGGCATCGGCAAGGGTGGGGACAAAAAACTCAATAAGGCAATCACAACACTGCGACTGAAGCTCCACCCCTTTAAAATATGCATTGCTATGTATGTAAAAAAGGGGTGGGGACTTTGATCACATGGTGGTGGCTACCATCTTGACTTTTTTGACTTCCGCTGCAGATACCTCTGCTCCCCCTTCACAGTATGAATCTGGCTCACAGTCCTGACTATGAAGTCCAACCCATTTTAACCTTATTCTGAACAGGTCTGGGTTCTGCCGTGCCAAAAAAAGCCACGACCTCCATCTGCAACAGCAGCTGGCTCCCAGTTCAGCCACATGTGGCTTCTGCTTCCCTGAAATTTGGTGCGCCGTGCTTCCTTATGATGCGAGGTGATAGAAATGCTTACAGCCACAGTGGAAATTGGCATACAGATGACGGTGGAGCAGGAGATCTGACAGCCACATCACCTTGGCATTGAATCTCGGCTGACAATTTTTATATCTCATCAGAACACTTAGAACATATGCTTTAGAAGCAGTTGTGTGAATCTGACTTAACGAAAAAGTCACAAGAGCATTCACAGGAGGCCAAGAATACTGGGAATGCCTCCGTTTAAAGCTGTGCTCTTATTACAGGGAATCTACCATGAAAAAACATTCCTGTTTTCCTTTCAGCTTGACTTAGCACACATTCATTAGAAAAATTATGTGCATATGATTCTGTTGGATCAGAATCTCCACACTTGATTTTCAACAGCAGTCTTTGCGTTGCAGGCTGTAACATTTGGCAAAAGACACATCGTTCTAATTAACACATGTTCAGAGAGAGGCACTCTGCCTCAAATGCTTTATTTGATCAAGTGTTTGCCTTCCTACACACACAAAAGATAAATCATTGCTCTATGTTTTAAAACAAGACAAAACAGAGAGATGTTTATATGAGCTAGAAAGTATCTGGAACACTGTTTGAACTCCATGGAATTCAGTGACAGACTGCATCACAATGCGCAGATCGCCCTGTGGGGATAAACATTGGCTGCTGGCGAAGATAAAGAGCAAGGGCTAATTGTTGCTGGAGGAATCAGGATGGCTGAGACAACTTTCAGGGGTGCAAGTAGGCAAGGTGCTGTTTCTGGGCTCCTCAAAAAAAGGATGCTATACAGGTAGTCCTCGTTTAATGACCACTCATTCAGTGACCATTCAAACTTAATGATGGTGCTGAATGAGTCAGTAGTTATGACCGGACCTCATGCTTATGGCTGTCACAGCATCCCATGGTCTTGTGATCGTGATTTGTGACCTTCCCTGCTGGCTTCCCACAAGCAAAGTCAATAGAGAGGCCGGCAGGAAGTCAAAACTCACGGTCACATGATTTGCTTAATGACCCGCGTGGTCCTTGCTTAATGATGGCAACTGGGACTTCCAGAACTGCTGTCGCTAAATGGCGTAGTTATGTAGTTTTCTGACTTACGACCATGTTGCTTAACGATGTTTCCAGTCCCAATTAGCTACAATTAGCTACAATTAGCATCAGACTGAGCAGGGTTTTTCTTAAGTTCTTAAGCCCCAAAGTGACTTTGGAAGGGTATGCTGGTTAAATGAAATCAGTGCCAGCTCCAAATTTGGGGGCGACTGGTGGTCAGGGAGGGAACTTAGAGGTGAACTGATTTCACTCAACCAGATCCCTTTCCAGAATACTTGGATGGTTAAATCAAATAATCCCTTCCAAAATATTTGATATCACAGTAAAATAAGTCACTCTCTGAAGGTGGATCCACCCAAGACTCACCATGGCTACTCATCCAACCCCTCTTAGGGCACATTAAAGAAGGAAGTTTGCTGCTTCACTCTTAAAACTGCCTGCATGCTCCGAGAGGAAGACAAACAAGTTGTGACTATGAGGAGCGGCAGCCAGAGCGTCTGTGTGTGAGAAGATGACCACTGTGACTTTGAAACTGAAGCTCCAATGCACATAAAAAGGGGACAAGGTTTTGATCATGTGGTGATCATGGTGATCTTGACTTTTTTGACTCCTCCCCCAAAGATGACCCTGGTAGCAGCTGTAAAGCAGGGAGCTCAGGAATTGACAACAGATAACTTGCAAAAACATGGACCTCAGAATGTGTCCACTCTAAAACTAATCCCTGAAATAAACTATTTAAATCACTTCTCTTCTAAAAGGCAATGCAATACATACTGTGCTTTTTTTCCCTTTTAGTTATTTCAAATGCATGATAAGGTTAAGATGATGCTTTTCATTTATTTCTAGCTTTCAAAATTCAGTTGTGGCGGAAGATTAAGCAAACTGCTTGAAGTCATACTCCAAGCTCAACTTTAAGACTATTTGACATAGTACACTAAAAATGCATTTTCACCATTATGGAATAACCAGAGATAGGAGGACAGATACAAAAGCACCATTCCCAGTCCTTTTATGTATATATTATCCTTATATCATGCACATCTTTCCATCATTTGTAAAATGGTTGTAGACCTACAAATTAGAGTTCAGGCAAATGATTTAATGGATACAAATACACACACCAAAACCAGGAAGTCAGAAAAATAAATATGGTGTATATATAATCTATTACAAAACCTGAATCTCAATGTGTCTAACAACGTATATTTGCATCATACTTCTTTTTCTTCCTAATGATTTCATGCAAAAATAACCCTGTTTTGCAGCAGCCGTGATTTTGAAAGTATAGCACAAATATAGTATTTGTTATGTTTGTCTTCCTAAATGACAAAACAACTTCAGTTCTCCAAATAATGTTTTGAGACTGCTGGTGCGATAGAAAAATACACAGTTTTAACTTATTTAAGGCATTTTCTTTTGTATTTTTTCAAATTTACATTCCAAATAAGTAACATTATCTCTAAGTGTGTTTCTGATTAATCAGAGGTGTATACTACATCTATTTAAAAGGTTTTCATCTGATTAATGTAACCAATTATCTGAAGCACAAATAAAACTTGCTCTGCCTTATTGCTGGAAGAAAGTAATTCTTTTCAATTCTATTTACAACAATAAATCACCAACCTTATTGTTGATTATAGCTTCAGAGTCATCAAAGACAAAATCTCCATCGTAGCTGTTCACAAAGCAGATAATCGAAAGAAATCCCACAATGGCTTTGGCCCAATATGGAGGAAGGATCAGGAATGGTATATCATGGTCTAGGTTAACTTCCCCCTGCGCCATTCTGCACACTTCTGGTCAAGAATTTGGAGTACCAACATTATGCTGGTTGTGAATCTGAAACAATACAATATATATGCATAAAGAGCCAACCCAGCTTTACAAACAACTTTCTACAACTATTTACTAGCCTATAAAAATATTTAATGGTCTACCTGCCAACACACATGGATGCTACATCATTTGTAACGCACTGGTAGTTGGGGGAGAGGGGGGTTATACGTGGAGAAAACAAAATAAAAACTCCTTTCCAATATTATAAAAGTGCTTTTCAGCTGGGTATAAATGTGTGGTTTAAATGGCTTTAATACTCACAAAAGTTATAATAAGCAACAGGCTGAGTAAGTTATTACAAGTACTCTGTTGTTAAAGGACTACCTGGCAAATGTCTGCACCCAATATTTTAGAATTCTGGAACTCAAACTCTATTTTCTGTGAACCTAAATTATTTATTTATTTATTTAGAAAATGTATACAGCTGCCCATCTTAAATACATAACTCTGAGCGGCTAATGACCAATTTACAAAAAATACAATAAAATATAGTACGCCCTGCCCCCACAACCAAAGTTAAAATAATTCCAATACAAAGGGAAAAAAAGCTAGAACACCATATAACAAATTCACAGAGATGCATATATTTGGCTTCCCTAATGTCCTGTCCCTAACACCTGAAAAAAAGCCAGATCTTAATGGTCCTGCAGAAGCCCTACAGGTTCAGGGCCCTCCAACTCTCAGAGGGGAAGCTGTTCATAGGGAAGGTGCTGCAACAGAGAAGGGATGCTTGATTCAGGGGAACTGGGGCAGGCCCATCTTGTTGGATCTGATGGAGCAGAAACCCTCAGAGATAAGGCGGTCCTGCAAGTAACCTCACCCTGCGCCATGAAGGGCTTTAAAGGTAATAACCACCATCTTGAATTCCATACTGGAAACCAATGCAGCTCGTACAGCACTGGTGTTGCATGGGCAAACTTTGGGGTTGCCACAACTGTGCACACCACTGCATTTTGGACCAGTTGGAGCCTCCGAGTGGCCATCAAGGTCAGCCCCACGAACAGTATATTGCAGTAATCCAGTTGGGAAGTGACTTAAGCAGGAGAGGCAGTGAGCAGAGCCTCCCAGTCCAGGAATGGGCACAACTGGTGATCAAGATGATTCCTTGCAGTAGCTACCTTGGCCATGGCTGCCACCTGCTCTTCGAGTAGGAGCAGTGAGTCCAAGAGGACCCCCAGATTGCATACCAACTCTGTCTGGGGAGTGCAACCCCATCAACAGCTAAAGATGAAAAATCGCAGATCTGGGGGCCTTAAACCCCAGGGCCGGTTGGTCTTCCCAGGGTTAAGTTGCAGCCTATTGTCCCCATCCACACCCTTACAGCCTCCAGGCTGTAGGCAAGAACTGCAACAGCATCACTTGTGTGGCCAGGAGTGGAAATATATGGTTGAATGTCATCAACATATTCATATTTTACCCTGTGCTGACTGATAACTTCACCTAGAAGTTTCATGTAGATATTAAATAGAAGTGGGGAGAGTGGTGAATGAGTAGATGCACCCCACATAAGAGGAGTCTAGGGCTGAGCCTCTTCTCCCCTATCAACATTGGAGGAGGAGAACCACTACAGAACAGTGATGCCCACTCCCAACCCCTGAAGCTGGTCCAGAAGATTACTATGGTTAATGGTATCAAAAGCTGCTGAGAACTAGGAAGGCAAGATTGGATGTACACTCCCATCTCAAGCCCTCCAAAGGTAACCCACAAGCACAAGCAGTGCTATCTCAGCACTATAAGCCAGTCTGAAACCTTACTGAAAAGGGTCCATCTTGCTGAGTTCTTAAAACAAAAATGGGAATCCTGTGGCCCTTCAAATATTTCTAAACTAGAACTCCCTGACTTTTTTGTAATTGAATTATGCTGGCTGCTATCAACATCTGAAGAGCCATAAGTTGCTTACCCACTGTAGAGAGTAAAGAGGATGGCCTTGACCCCTGGCTGATCTTGCTGGGGCCTGGAAGTTGGCCTGGTTAGATTTGGCCTAGTTGGTACTTGAATAGGCCTCTGGGGCTGTAGGACAAAGTGGGAAGTTGGGGGAAAAAAAATCCAGAATTTCTTAGTGGCAAATCACCTATTATGTGGATGGGTCTATGAAGTCACCAAGAGTCAAAGTGAACTAGAAGAAGACCGTATCATTTAAAGACTTCAGGATAACAAGTTGTCAGCCCTTCAATATAGGTCAGATCAGGACAAACATTGCAAGGATTACAGGAATGCTACTTTATTGTTGTAGGGCATAGTAACAGAATCTTGAAAGCCTGTCAGTTTCTCTCTGCTCTACCAAACACCAAACAGAATCAAGGAGGATTTGAGTTTCTTTCTCGAATTTTCCACCTTCCGGAGTTGTTGTTTTTCCTCCATTAATAGCTTATATATTCCTTGATCCAAGTTGTCTACATTTCTTTATACAAGTAGTATTGTCATTGTTTCAAGAGTGTTATGCCAAGATACAAGCAGATTTTATTAACCAGAATGTAAGTTATTGTTATGATATTGAATTAAGTTAGGCTATAATTCTACATGACCTTAACTAAGAGTAAATCCCTTTGAACTGTTACTTTTAAACGTTTTTTTAGATATCTGGACTGTAATTCATTTTTACTAGAATTCTGTCATGGTGAACATATACATGGTAAAAACAAGCTGGTTCTTCAAAACTTCTAGCATCCCAGATTTTCAATGCAGCTTTGAGGAACCCTGAAGATCTCTTTCAAGCTAGGCCCCAAATGGTGCTCCTGAGATTAATTTGCATCTATCAGTCTTTATTCCATTAATATCTACAGTTTGTCTCCCTCCAAGCAAAGTTCTAAGTAAATCTATCACTCTCCTAACATATGCTTCTTTCTTGGCCATGTTCTCAATTTCCCTCCCAAACTTCTTCACCCAATTAGCTAACAGTGACTTTCCACACAGAATGATGCAAAATAAAATTCCTGCTTTTGTAGGAGGGCTACTATAAAGATGGAAAGAACTGGGGATCTTGGCAATGCAAAAATCTCAAGGATGACAGTTCTATTGTCCAGCCATTAGCGTGGACAACAAAGGTAGCAGCAAATTCTGCTAACCCAGGTTTTCAATGCAGCTTTGAGGAACTCTGAAGATCTCTTTCAAGCTAAGCCCCAAATGGTGCAAATTCACGAATGGCAGAAATTTATCTTGATTTGGAGCCTTTGGGTCTCTGGGTCTTCATCTGGGTATTTCAAAATGGAATCTTCCTCACTGTCCTTTCTCCTTTTTCACCACTATCAGAGAATACTTTACTTCTGGCCACAAAAGGCCACTACAGTACATAGTATGCTGGAACTATGGAAAACAAAATTGTTTCCCAGGATTCTGCTTTCATGCCACCCATCCAATAAGCATTATGAAGATGAAAGAAGCCCACAAAGAAAAATATCCTTTTTGTAGATTTAACATAGCAGCACAGAATTAGAACTCCAGCCTCTGCCAGATATGATGCAACTGCTGCATACCATAGCCTAAACACCAGATCTTCAAGATCTTCAAAAAAGGAATCCATTTATTTCAGAATAATTTCAGAAGACATTTAGGACAGTGGTGGGTGGGTATAACTTTACACATGCTTAATAATTTAGAAGAGCAAAATAAAATTAAATTATATCCAAGTTACTTCCATATATTTTTTAGCTTGGGGCATTTTTCGGTTGTGCATTTGTTGGCCATAATCACCTGCTGCAGATCAGATCTCTTCTATGCAGGAAATATTAACCACATGGACTTCTGCACCAGAGATGGATAAGAAGATTGCAGCAGCTGAATAAATGTACAGTTTATTTTTACCTGTTGGTTGGACTGCTTTATGCCAAGAATGATGCCTTATGCAGATTTTGTGTGTTTGTACAAGCTCAGAGATCATATAACCAAAGGATGTACAGACTCATTCAAGAAGCTGTAGTTTCATCAGCAATATATATTAGGCTTTGGCAGTTGTCTGCAACCTGGTACGCTGCAAATGTGTAAGGACTAAGCACCAGATTGTAAAGGCTGCCTTACATAGCCATCAATAATGTACAAGTTTCAAGCCCAGAATGTTCAGTTATGCATTTGCAATACTATTCTCACCATACCAGAAGTATTCTTAGCTTAAAACAACTCAGAGCAATCTGTTTCAAATAGGAAATGTTTTGTACGCTCCTAGATATAACAATAGAGCCAGTCTGGTGTAGTGGTTAAGGCCTCAGGCTAGAAACCGGGAGACTGTGAGTTCTAGCCACGCATTAGGCACAAAAGCCAGCTTGTGACCTTGGGCCAGTCACTCTCTCTCAGCCCTAGGAAGGAGGAGGCAAGGGCAAACCACTTCTGAAATCTTGCCAAAAAAACCTGCAGGGACTAGTCCAGGGAATCACTAGGAGTCAACACTGACTTGAAGGCACCAAAAAAAAGTTATAACAAGAATAGTCTAATAAATTACAAAGAACAATGGAAAATGGTTTATTCTGTACACTGTAGCTACTATCCAAGAGAATGTCTCTGTGCTGGACTGCTGGGGAAGAAATGGTGAACTGAAGATGGCTCTGCTAAAAGCAGAAATGACGACCATGGTGGAATCAAGAGCAGGCAAGTAGACCATCTCTTCAATAATTCCTCTCCAGACAAGGAGAGGACTTGAGATTGCCCACAAGTGCTCTAGACAGTTGCTCCTCAGTGGTCTCCTGCGGTTTAGAGCGCTGGGGGATGAGGGAATAGCCATCTTGCTCAAACCACAGTTGGTGCCTTCAAAAGGACACTGGGTTTGCATACTTCCTTTTCTAATCACTTTCAGAAATTGCTCGTTAACTGCTTTTCAGCTATTAGGAACCTCTGGATCAACAAGTCTGAAAACACCGGGTGAGTTTCCTTCAATCCTTAGCAAAAATTTGAAATACAAGTTTAAGGATTTAAAAAAAAAAAATTGGGAGGGGGAATAAATATCAATGAGTGATCAGAATTTTGGTTTTGGAAGGTTATAAATGGACTAATGGCCCAGACAGATTCAAAAT